ACTATAAATTTTTTCATCAATGCAAGTAATTACCATCAAAGATTATCTGTAGTATCCCTAGGTAGCAGTAAGAGCAGGTAAAATGTCCTTTACCAGACATTTGCTTAAGTAAGGTATTTCTAAGCATAAGAGATGAGTATGCACCAATCACAATGTATCATGGATGCTGGAAGGCTTTCAAAGCTTAAAAAAAAAAAAAAAAAGGAAGCTAAGTTTTGGCTTATGCTAACAACAAAAACAAAAGAAACTCCACCCCATTCCACCCTTGAAATGTGTCATGAAATTGAATGAAATTCAAAGCTCAACTAAACATTATCTGTTGATTGAAAAGAGACTTTCTTGGAAAATAAAAATCTCAGTGTATATATTTTGTGTTTTATCCTTGTTAGAATTTAATGGGTTAACTTAAACTCACTATAAGCCTTTAAATCATTGTTTTTTATAAGATTCTATTATGTTCTGCCCCATATCAAGAATACAAATTTCTTTTCCCCCCTACTTGAACACATGATACCTAATCTATACATATTTATTTTTATTTTTGGTTTGATTGAACCCAGGGGTGCTTTACCACTGAGCTATATCCCAGTTCTTTTTATTTTTTGTTTTGAAACAGGGTCTTGCTAAGTTGCTGAGACTAGTCTCAACTTGTGATCCTCCTGCCTCAGGCTCCTGAGTTGCTGGGATAATAAGCATGTGCCATGTGCATGGCCTATACTTATTTTAAAACTACTTTGAACATTTCCCCATGTTTTTTCCCGTTTTATTAATTTTTGTGAAATATATTTTTATATAATTTGACTAAATATTTGAGGTCAGTGTTCACTTTAAAGTGCTCTGTTCTGAGCACTTTAAAGATTTTTCTTTCTTTCTTTTGTTTTTATTATTTTTACATGTTTATATCACAATTTTGTACAATAAAATCTGCACATTGTACTTTTCCCTTTTGTTTCTGTTTACTGATCTGGGAAAGAGTTTCCTACTGTTCAGAAGTTTGATTGTTGATCCATTTTATACTAATTTACCTCTGATTTGCATTTACATACTTTTAGTTAGTTTTCTTGTCCCTCTTGTGATACCAAAGATCTTAAGCCTGGTGCAGTGGCAGATGCCTGTAATCTCAGCAATTTGGGAGGCTGAAGTAAGAGGATCTCAAATCCAAGGCTAGCCTCAGCAACTTAGCCAGCCCCTAGAGCAAGACTCTGTCTCAAAATAAAAAATAAATAAATAAAATAAAAAGGACTGGGGATGTGGCTCAGTGATTAATCAAACAAAAACAAAAGCAACAAAAAAGATTTTATGTAATCTATTAACTATTATCCCTCTGTAGCGACTCTATAGGTTTTTTTGTTTGTATGTATGTGGTTTTTTTTTTGGCAGTTTAACCTTGGGAATATGTATATAAAGCAGAAGTATCTTAATTTCATTATATTAGATATAATAGCCTGAGGGTATGGAAATACAAAAAAGCATGCTTACTCACTGTTTAACAATTAACTATCTAGTTAAATTAGGCGAACTCAAAATTATATGATTCTGATCATATATGCAATTACCATTAATCTAAAGAAAAACATTTACCACGATGAATATGATACACTATAATATTCTAATAAAGAAACCATAATTTTCACATGCATACAAGAAAAGTAAATCAATAACATAACTGATAAACCATTAACCTCGAATTTTCTGTACCAATAAAAAGCATTAGAAGAACTAATAGAAAACTGTGAATTTATCTATGCAGATCAAAGAAAAAATCAATTTGTCTTCTATATAAAACAGATTGACAAATATGTATATTTCATAAAGAACAAAACTGGAAGTTGACATACATTTAGTTGGTTAGTAACTTTCAGTCATTTCTAGATCACCACTGATGAATTCTATTATATTTTCAACAGAGAGCAATCTTAAAGCACTGTGGCTAGAGATTTGGAGATCTTTTAGTTAGAAACCCAATGAGATCAGATTGACAAGCTAACATTTATTTTTAAATATTGTTTAAAAAAAATTGTGTGATCACTATGTGCTAGGTCCTGGGCTAAGTATTTTATAAACATTTAATACATACATACATATACACAACACACACAAAAAAACATAAAATGAGCACTATTTTTAATATCATTTTTCAGATAATAAACCAAGGTATCCAACTAGTAAACAGAAGAGATAAACCTCAGTTTGACCAAAACCTCATGTTTTAAGTACAATACCATGCTGCTTCATATGAATCCCCCCCCACCTTTTATTTTTTTAGTACTGGGGATTGAACCCAAGGGCACTTTACTACTGAGTACATCCCCTGTCCTTTGTACTTTTTATTTTGAGGGTCTCACTAAGTTGCTGAGCCTGGCCTAGAACTTGCGAAAGAATTGTTGAAAGAATCTTTAAAGATTTGTTGAATCCTGAAAGAATTGTTCTGCAATTATATAATTTGCATCAGTCTCTCGAACTGCTGGAATTACAGGTGTGTGTCATGGTGTCTAGCTTGGATTCCTTTCTTTATTCAACCAAGAAATATTTATTGAGCACTTACTGTGGCTGTGTTATCTCGCCTCATAGAGCTTTATGGTACATACATTCAAATAAAGCGAAAATTAACAATCAGCAAGATTTGCTGGAGGTCCAAGCAGAGGATATGGTGGGGAAAGGTTATTTGAAGCAGAGGAATGTAGGCACAAAGGCCTAGTTAATGAGACAGCATGTGGCATGTTTGAAGGTTATGAAAGTAACCTGGATCACAAATATGCTTTTGGGAATCATCAGCACACTTTTGTAAGTAATCTTGCAATAATACTTTTACATAAGTAATCACATATTTTTGTCACCTCTTGCAGCTAGCAACTACAAATGCTTGCCTAGTTTATTTCAGGGAAGCAAGGAAGGCAGAGATTTCCATGAATTTCTTGAATACCTAGGCCTAGCTTACATAGTACCCAAGGCTTTATTCATTTCACCATGAAAAAGAAGTCCACCTGTGCATAAATGGATTGGTTTCTGCTCTTTTACTGACTACTGATGATATTAAAGTCTTAGTTTATTTATACTAGCAGTAAGGTTTATTTCCCCAGGTGAAGTATACTGGAGATGATGGCAAAAGCAAAAAGGAAGGCATTCCTAACTCTACAGTCTAGGAGTTTTTCTTATTTTGAGTCATTTTACCATCTTGAACCTTTCCTTCACGATCTACCTTACATTACAGTAATTTGACATTCACTCATTTTTTCTGAAACATAAATTGTTAAGGGCAAGGAATCTTTCTTCCCGGGAGCTTCAGTAGTACCTAGCACTGTGACTGGACCATAAGTATTTGTTCAACTGAAGGCCATAACAGATAATGGTCCTGAGGTAAGGGACAACTGTATCATACTATTTACTTTCTGAAAATTGCCAATTAGAAAAAACAAAGTCACTAGCATTTGTTTTCTTTCTATCTAGGTGCAACTATCTTAATTAAACTGTGATTAGATGTGGACCTCAATGAATTTTAAATTACCAGATTATTACATTTTCAGCATAGGGAAAACAAATGGCAAGCTCATATAATGAAACATACAATTTAAATGTTTGGGAAAAAAAAACCTTCAGATTATTATCATCTGGTCCTTAAGTATGATAATTTCCATTGGCTCTAAACTCTGGCTGAGTTAATCAACCTTTATTCAGCCATGAGTTATGGTGCTACTGACTGTGTGAGTACAAGGTTAACTTCTTTACTAACAAAAATATTATGAACAGAGGCCTGAGGAACCTAACCTGTATTTCCACTAGAAGCAATGGTTCAGTACTTGCTAACTCAGTAGTTGCAGAGATTTTAGAGCATGACTACTGTGAATAATAAGAACTAATGTATATAGAAATAAAAGAAGTGGAAGACTAGATTTTGCTTTTTGATGTAAACCACTGACCCCTACAGTAGGAAAATAGCTGAAAGAATTGTTTGGCAATTTTTTAAATAAAAAACCAGCAGTAAAGATAAAATGAAATGATATAAAATACTCAATTCAAAAGAAGGCAGAAAAGGAAGGGGTAAAAAGCCCCCAAGAACAGAAGGGACAAATATAAAACAAATAGCAAATATTTTTATATAGATGCTCCTTGACTTATGATTATATCCCAATAAACTCATCCTAGGTTGAAAATACTTAGTCAAAAATCATTTAATACACCTAGCCTACCAAACATCAGTAACTTAGCAACTCAGTACACTGTAGTGCTGTTAGCTGTTTACCCTTGTGATCGCTTGGCTGACTGGGAGTGGGGGCTGGCTGCTGCTGCCCAGCATTGCAAGAGTACTGTACCATGTATAGCTAGCTAGGAAAATTCAAAATAGTTTTATTGAATGAGTACCATTTTCATATCATCATCAAGTTGAGAAGTCCTAAATCAAACTATTATCAGCAGGAGACCACCTGTATATTTAAATATATCTATAGTGAAAACTGTATTAAATATAAGTGATCGAAACACAGAAAAAGTGGAAGTTGACAGACTGAACTTAACAAACATGACCAAATACCATTTCTGAAAAATAATCAGGATCTAAAGGGAAAGGAAAGTGTACAAAAGAGAGTAGAGGGCAACTAGAAAACACAAAATGTGGACCTGGGACTCAGCTGTTGCTGTATCTTGCCTTTTTGGTAAGCCACCTCAATGTCCTTTTTCTCAGAAAGCAAATGAGATTTCTTATATCCCCCTGATTTATAGATTCTCCTGCTTTTAAAAGACAGAGCAGCAGCATTTTAAAGCTGGGATAAGTGGTATTCTCAATCTGGAATACAGGTTTCCAATTAGGTTCTGAAATTTCAGATTTTCAGCTCATAGTCTACTAGAATATTTCTAAAAATGCTCATAATCAGGATATAAATTACTGATGGATCCATTATGGGTTAACTCATTGTTACATGCTAACTTATTGTCACATATATATAATTGATAGAGATACATTAGAAACATTGAGAAACAATTGAAATAAATAGCTGGCACAGTACCTTTTGATAAACAATGGAGCACACAAGATCCTTGACAGCAGATAAAGATAGTTCTTGGGCTTCAATGGTAACACTCTCTCGTGTGAGGCCAATCTGCAGTAGAAATGAAACTGTATGCACAGAGCCTCTGGAGTTGGTGAGTGATGGTGCACTGAAGCTTCCATTAGAGAGTCGGGAAGAGAGTCCTGTCTGAGGACTTGAACACGGAGAAGGAGTTGGAAGCACAGGAGGAATAGTTGCAGGTAACACAGACTTCTGGGCTGATGGAGGAGAATTATTTGCAGACATCTGCCTTTCTTTAATCTTTAAAAAATAGTTGTCAATTATTTTCAAATGGTTATGAAAAGGTTTTCAAAATAACAGCAGTAAAAAAAAAATGACTGTACTTTTGGATGTAGATGAAATCTTCTTTATTTCCTCTATTAAGCCATTCATACCGATGATTACAAATTCTATCACTGTGAGTTGAATGCACAAATAGTCCTACTTCTCTTAATATCAGTCCCATCAAAAACAGTCTTGTTTTTAGGGCCACAATCAAGGATTTGTACAGGATTTCACATTACTGAGTTATCTTCATGAGAATACAGTTGACAATGCTTATTTACTAAATATCTTCATCTATATTAAGTCTGTTTTTGTCTCTCACTTTTCATTTCATAAGATACACACTGAATCAAAATTGTTTTTCTGTCAAGATGAGAGCCTTCTGGTTTAAAAAATAATGTTTTAGATTAATTTATTCAGTACTTATCCTTTGGTTCACCGATTTGACAAGACACTTTCTCAAATCACTCTCTCAAATGTCCTCATTTTCATTTGGGGGGGGTAAACTTTTCTATGATGAAGTAAAAAGCTTTTAAAAATAGTACACGCATATTTCATTTGATGAATGGATCCATCAAGAAAAGTAGATGCTTTCTGAAATGCTGTCAGCCTAGAAGGAATTTTTAAAAAGTTTTTTTTAATAGTTTATATTCACTTGACATTAATTTAAAAAAATGTATGTATTCTGATACTTTTTTAAAACGATAATTTTTGGTTGTATGTTCACAATTCACAATGAGTAGCCATTTTTGGTCTAGCTATCAGAATCATTTTTTACTACAGGAATAATTTTAGAGAGAGCCTCCTGCTTTAAAAAATATCCCCAGCACTGCTAACACTTGAAACTTGAAGAAATGATCACTTTTAAAAAAGCTACAAGATTTTAAATCAATGAAATTCAACACTTTTATTGTACAATTATAAATGAGTATGACAAGAAGAGAAAAACAGAAGGGATAAAAAAGAAAAGATGTAAAACACATACCACCCAGTCATATAAAAGATGTATAACAATTTCCTAATATAGGTAAATTGAGTATTCTTTTTTTTATATGTTAAAAGTCTAATCCTGCAAAATATGACTCCTTACTTGCTTTGCTGACAAATTCCTTTCAGAAGGCTAAGGGACCAGGAGGGAATATACCGGACAACAAAGACATAAATACGTAAGATAGGAAAACAGGATAAAATGATTTTATCATAAGAAGTTCTAACAGTAGGAAAGACAACAGTAGATACAATTAAATATGTATGACAGTTGTTAGGAAAACAGTTCGGAAAGTTAAAAAACAAAAAACATTGGTATGACCCCACGTGGCTAAGTAAAATGGCTCATGAGAGGATTCTAAACTCTATCTATGTACCCATCAACAATTCCAATGATGAAAAAGTAAGGCATCCAATGTGGACGTAGAGTGACATGCTTGCAGAGTAGTTAATGGTGCTGAATTAGGATGAACATGACAGAACAACAAAGACATGCAGATACAGTATTATAAAAGAAAGCTCAGAGAAAACTGAGACCAGAAAAACTGTTAAAAGTATTTATAGCTACCTTCAAATAAATTATTTTTCCACACTTATACTGTACAGTACCTAATAGTTCATTTCACATATTGCATCTCACAATACCTCTTTGAAAGTTGACAGAGAAATATTATCATTTTTGCAGATGAGAAAACTAAAGCACAGGGTAATAAAACAATTTACATAGTGTCACATGGCTATGAAGAGACAGAGTAGAAATCAGAATGCAGGTTACATATTTTCTTATCTAGTGCCTTCTCCACAATCACATAATATCTCTCAACAAGAACAAGGAACCGAGAATCACTTGTTCAGGGAGGATGTTGCTAAGGTTGACAGATCACAGACAGAATTGCTCAACTTGTATTTTGCTTTTCTTTTCCAACTGTTTTAAATTATAGCTGCAGAAAAAGATTAAGAACTGAAACCTAAGTCTCTTGAATAAGAGACTTAAAGCAACTTTATGTGAGTTCAAGCCTCTGGGCCCAAATGCAGTCCACTCCATACACTTTGTGATCAAGTGTAATCACAAAGCTGACTCTGACAATCTTGGAGAAAGATCTCAGAATGAGAGAGTCATAATCCAGAAGTTGGGTAGAGTTGCTTCAAATACTGGGGGCTAGAGAAGCAGATAAGCCAATTTCAAAAATTAGATACATAAAGTTATAACTCTTTAACCAAATCCAAGATTATGAAGCAAATGGTTTGTGAATAACCAGAGAATAAAATGGTCACTAGATGTCAGCCTGAATTCAAATAGAAAAAGTAATGCCAAGTCCACTGCATTTACAACTTAGAAAAAATGACTATTACAGCTTCTTAGATGGAGGAAATAATACCTTACATTCACTGAACTCTTACTATCTGCTGGACACTGTTCTAAACACTGTATATGTATTACCTTATTTAATCCTTACAACTCACTTTATAGTTGAGAAAACAGAAGTTCAGAAGTTAAAGTACTTTCCATACTATCTTTCCAAATATGTTGTTTGTGAGTTGAATGTTAAGTGTCATTGGGAAATGTACTGCTCTGTCAACTTACATAATTCTTTAGGGGAGAGCCTTGGAACTCTGTTCTTAGCTTTACATTGTTTTTCATTATGTGTGCATTAATGAAGACACAGGTGACATGCTTATACAATCTTCAGATTGAACAAATACAGGAGAAATAAAAACTAAAATGAGTTTGAAACTTTACAAGGATAAATGTAAAGCTTTGCATTTTGTTTCAGAAATTTAAATGTGCATCAGAAAAAGGAAAATGTTGACTTGGAAATTGTTCATATGAGACTGGGTTATGAACCCAAGAGTTTAATATGCACTGTTAATATAATGGGTGACTAGGAAAATGATCAGAAAAAGGAAGCCAAAGAGAAAGGTACCTGGGTTCAGCTGAAGCGCCACCCTGCCCCACCCAGAGAAGCACATTTTGTGAGAACAAATGGAAAGGAGCCTGAACTGCTGGAACCTATTCCCTATGAATTCATGGCATAATAAATGTTTATATCTATATATCTATATCTATATCTATAGTGACTAGAAGACTAATGCAAAACTAAATTCCCTGGGCACCAAGAATGCATCAGCATCAATCTGTATACTGTAATGTTTATTTTCATGGCCCACATTTCTAGACCTACAGAGATTTAGAGTTGAAGAAAAAACTGCATCCAATAAAGGGGAAAGCAATGTCATGTGATAAACATGTGCTTAACAAAACCAAATAGACTAAGTGGTCTTCAAATACTTAAAGGGGTATTAATAGAGGGATTGGTTTTATTCAGTGTTATTGCAGAAGATGGAAACACTACTTACTTACTTACTTGTGTAAGTACCTATAACAATACCTAGTTTACAGTAAGTGCTCAAACTATTCAGTAAGTTTGAGCAATTTTCATGGTAACTACAAAAGAAATAGCAATTAAGGCCAGGCAAGTGGCGTATGCCTGTAATCCCAGCAAGAGGCTGAGGCAAGAAGATCACAAATTCAAAGCCAGCCTTGGCAATTTAGGGAGGCCCTAAACAACTTAGCAAGACCCTGACTCAAAATAAAAAAAATAAAAAGGGCTGGAGGTGTGGCTCAATGGTTAAGCAACCCTGAGTTCAATCCCTGGTACAAAAAAATAAAAAGAAAAAAAAATTAAGCCTCTTACCTTATGCTAAACTCTGCAAGTGAGATAAACATACTTCATTAAATCCTTGCAACATCCTTATGAGATTTAACTCTTACAGAAAAGGAACCAGAGTTTCAAGAAGTTGCTGGTTGCCCACAATTACATAGCTAATAAGTGATGGAACTGAGATTCAAACTAAAATTTTCTGGACTTCAAATCCCTTTTCTAATATTTCATTCCATATCAACCGCTTAGCAACAGGTTGTCTTAAGAGGGAATGAACTCCATAAGATGTCTGACTCAACAGTTGTAAAAAGCTGAACTGTCACAATAAAGTAGTATAATACTGATGAACACTGTATACAAACCAATCTCTTAAAAATATAATATCACTGTTATATATTATTTGATCAATATCTTCCCAATAAGTTTCTATTTTATATACCAATTAATATTAAATAGTAGTAACTAATAATACAATTTACCTAATAGAACTGATAACTGTTTATAATTACATATAATTTTCTATAAAAGTGATTTTTTTTAAAGTTGCAGTATGAACAGTAAGAAACCAAGAAGTTGTCATATTATCTTCAGCCCACTCATTCCCTCTGTTTCCCTCTCCTTGTTTAGTTTAGGGAACTTTGATTTGCTCTGTAATTTGCAACAAGTTGTAGGAAGCAAAATATCAAGACCAAGTATTAAAAAAAAAAAAAAAAGCTAACAATTCTAATTTATACAAACCCTGGTATGTTGCTTTATTTTTTGTCTTTATGCTTCAAGTAGAAGGCTGAAATAGTATATCTTATTAATTTATAAACTGTATATCAATTAAATATATTATTTTGAACAGCTATAAGAGAGGTTATAATCAAAGATAATAGAATTTCTGTTTATGTGGAACATCTCAGGTATTCTTTTGGGGAGCTGTCATATTGTGTTTAAGTGAGTTTACATCATCTGTCACCATTGTTGAATGCAATCAAAACATAGAATTTTGGGGGGAGGGCGTGTACTGGGGATTGAACTCAGGGGCACTTGACCACTGAACCACAACTCCAGCCCTATTTTGTATTTTATTTAGAGGTAGAGTCTCAATGAGTTGCTTAGCCCCTAGCTTTTGCTGGGTCTGGCTTTGAACTTGCAATCTTCCTGCCTTAGCCTCCCCAGCGGCTGGGGTTACAAGCATGTGCCACCACACCTGGCTTAAAACATAGAATATTAAAGGCATCATGAGCCCAGTCTGCCAAATTATTATAGACAAAGGTCTTGGAGGTTAAGGGACTTGGTTGAAGGTTACTGCATGGTATATAACAAGTTCATCTACCTTCTTCCTCTCAGAGTCACCTTTCCTATAACACATTATTTTCTACCTTAACAAAGTAGCTACTTAAGAGAAGCTCTAACAGCAGCATTTTCATTCAACAAATCCTCATTGAGTAAGCAATATTTACCAGACTGCTATGAGACACTGGAGTTAAGATAGCAGTGACAGAAACAGACAAGGCCAGTGCTCTCAAGGAAGTCACAGACATTAAACAAACATTTGCATAAATAGCTAGGCAATTACAAACTATGAGAAGTGATATGACCATGCATACCAAGGGGACTTAATTTCAGCTGAGGTCTCAAGGAAGGTCCCTTTAAGGAAGTGACATTTAAGCTAGGACCATTTGATACATACTAGTCAGAAAGGCAGAGAGAGGCAACAGAATCATAAGAAGACAAAACATATCTAGCTACTAAATATTCAAAAGATAGCTCATTATTTAGCGTAGACAACATTCTTTTTGAACTCAGTAAAAGCTAAAGAGGTAAAATGCTTTTCCTATTTGGAACAGTATATTTACCATGACTCCCACCAGCAAAAGGTCGCCCAGGTTCAATTTAGTTTTGTGTGCTAGGAATGCTAATGAAGTGGCAGGCTGGGTCTCCTCATCACCTCCATGTTATTATGTGCATGTACTCTTTTGGCATGTAAAAAAACATATGACCTTTTTCAGTGCAACACTCACTGACAAGTGTGCTGAAGTCAATGTCCATGTTTTGCCTTGACAAGTTTCACTGTGCTTAATAGTGTGGATGTGGTCTTTATATTGTATATTGTGTAAAAACTCAAGTATCTGCTTATTTTTTAAAATACCAATATTTACTTAATACATTTTCAAAATCATGACTATTACTTTAGATTAATTCAACTAAATTGATTCCTTTAAAACTCTGCTTACCTGGACCATTGGCATTTGAATCTCAGTCCCTCCATTGTCAGGCAGAGTACTGAGAGGGCATAGTACCTGTGCTCTCTGCTCAGGCACTGAAAATTATATCCAGTAATAAGATTACAGACTGCCAGTCTTGCAATGCAAAGTGAATCTATGCTGAGTTTCATATATCTTCATCTTCGCCCCAGTAGTATATAAGAAATCTGATTGGCTAATATCCAAAGAGCAATTTCTCACATGCCACCACTATAAACTAATCACACAAGTGGAGAAAACTTTATTCCTACACTGAAATTAAAACTAAAACATCTCTTAAGTACCTACCTCAATTTTTTCATAAGACAACTGCTCCAAAGAGGTATGCACATATAACAAGTTCAATTTGAATTACATAATTGGAGGGACTCAAAGCACGAGCAGCACAGAAGATGGTGATTATTAAATCAAATTTAAACTTGTACTAGCAAATAATTTCCCCTTGTTCTGTATAGTTACTTTAAAAATGAGCAATTAATTTCACTATGGTTAATATTTTTGCCAATTATAGAATGTCTTTTTTAAAAACTGTACCAAAATTTCCCTTAGGAAAAGTGCATTTAAATTATCATCTATTCATTTTTTCCTGTATGAAGTGTTTTCAGTTCTTATGTAACTTAAAAAATTTAATATCCCAAAACTCATTACATTCTTTGTGTGTGTGTGGCAGTGTTTAACAGAAAGAAATGTCTATTTTAAAGGTCATCTGATGAAACCAAAAGCTTATAAAATGTGTACACTAAAAGGCTCAGACTATCTGGGATACTTAAAAATTAATTTTAAAGTATACAGCAGTCAACATTCTTGAATCTGAGTAATCCTGAAATGGGAACTGTTTTACAACTAGCTTCTCAAACAGGAATACTCAAAGTTCATCTGCTCAGGTCTACATCATTTATATTATTACCTTATGGAGCAGAAGCTACCTTAAAGATGTCTGTGACACATTTTTAACTACTACTTTTACTAAAACTTGCAATTTCTTCCTTTCAGCTGAATTGCCATACCTGACCTCACCCCAGATTCTAATATGGGAAGACAAAAGTAAAACGGGGAACTTTATGGAAATTTTCTGCAGCAAATCCATAGGTATTCCCTGCCTTTACTGCATTAAAAGTTTAAGCTTGACCTAAGCAAAAACAAAATCGCTAAAAACACCAGAACCACAACGTCAAGTACAAGTATTTTAAGCGTAATAATATTTTCTAGAGGACAAATCGGCGCATTTAAAAAGTTTCATTTGTGGCTAAAGTTCATAAATTTAGGCCATGTCCTGCAGAGTAGGAGTTCAGGGTGTAACTTATCCTTCCTAATCAAAGATGACACCGATAGTCTCATTTCCTGTGGGGATGGGTGTGGCTGAAGAGACAGTTATGTCCATGCCATCAATCTGTGCGTGGAAAGCTCTGCAGGTTGCCTGTCGCTTTATATTCGTGCTTGCAGACCGCAAGGCCTATGCTTCTGGTTCGGACAACTTGAAACAAAATAACAGGCAATCAAACAGTATGTGGTTATTTTTATTGCTCAAAGAAACAGTCGCACTCTTCAGTACTTCATCTCACGAAAACCCTCCCGAAGCCGAGAACAACTCGGAGCAATGCTGCAACTTGCAAACCTAAAGGCAATCAGGAAACCCGGGTGGGGAGACTCTCCAAGCACCTACTCACCCCTTTCAGACGGGTACAGCGTAAAGTGATGAAAGGAAACAAAAAGCCTCAGGAAAAATTCGGCACTGTGAGTGGCGTCCGCAACTAGTTTGGGGACACCGGGAACTGATGGACCCTGAAGGGCCGGGCGCGGTGGTCACCCGCGAGAGCGAATCCAAGTTGGCCTCCGCGCGGACGCCGGAACTTGGCCCCATCTGGCGGCCGCGCCGGCGCCCCCGGCCGCCCGCCGCCCCAACTTCCCGCCCAGCCCCGTGGCCGCCGCCCAGCCCCCGCGGGGTCCGGGTCCCGGTCCCGCCGCCGCCGCCGCGTGCGGGTGGGGGAGGGGCGCCGCCGCCTCAGCCCGACGGGCCGGGAGAACAAAGCGGCGGCGGCGGTGGCGGCGGCGCGAACTTTTTCGGTGTCTGCTCCTCACTCCCTGAGGCGACTACTTACAGAGGCGGGCTCGGCCCGTCGTGAGAAACTCCGCGCCCGCCAGCGTCTGGATCCCGGACCAGGCGCCAGCGAGGCTTCACGCGCCTCGCAGGATCCCGCCCGCCGCCGGCGCCCCTTCCTCCCCCCCTCCCGTCCCGTCCTGAGGCCGGAGGGCGGGGGGCCGGGGCGCGCGGGGCGGGGGCGCGCGGCCGGCGCGGCGCCTGCCGGGAGCTGTAGTTCCCCCGCGGCCCCGACCGGTGGTGTCCGCGCGGGAGGTCGTCCGCTCTCCGCACGCGGGTGAGGGGCTGCGGCAGCGTCCGGCGCGCTGGGCTTCTCACCACACCCTGTGGGGTCCCGGCGGCCCTGCGAGCGCTGGGCGGCGGAGCGGCGACGCCGCCCCTGGCGCGACCCTGTGTGTGCCCAGTCCCGCGCTGCACTTGAACCTCACCGTTCCTACTGACATGCCTTTTTCTCTTTTGCTCTCCGCTCCAAGGAAGACGATGGCGTCTAGAGGTGATGTCTCGAACTTGGGACTTCAGGGTGTCCAGAGCCGTAAGCAGGTCCCACCCTAAGACGCCGTCGACTCCCGCCCACATTCCCCTCCTACCCTCCAGGTGCCGCCTGACTTGGCGGCCGGGGCGTTCCGCACCGAGACGGACGCCGCCGGGGCGCTTCACCTCGGCACCGCAAACCAGGAATGGCAATTTGCACTGTTTTCGCGTTTGCTCCTTGTCTATCTTCACCCTCGAGTATGACCTCTAACATCCAAGTGAAGTGCAGTCGAAAATCACCGAACCTCGGCTCCTACATGCAGTGAAGCCAGGGTGACAGCGCGAACCTCGGCTCCTACATGCAGTGAAGCCAGGGTGACAGCACAGGGCGAGTATTGGAGTGGAAGTCACATAGGGATCTAGGGGGAAGAGATGTTAAATTGTAGATATATGTGGGAGAAAAGCCAGAGCGGCTAATGGTCATTGTCACAAAAAGACGTAGTTTTCCTGTCAACATTTTATCCGAAATAATACTTAAGTAAAATACAGGGAAACAATTGGAGGGGTTACAGTCAATGATCCCCATTCAGAGGTCAAGAGGGAAGTTTTGAGAATGGAAAGAAATCTGACCTAAGTGGGCACCACCTTTTTTTTCTTTCTTTCTTTCTTTTTGGTACCAGGAATTGAGCCCAAAGGTGCTTAACTACTGAGCCATATCCCCAGCCTTTTTTGTATTTTATTTAGAGACAGGGTCTTGCTAAGTTGGTCAGGGCCATGCTATGTTGCTCTGGCTTTGAACTCTGAGATTCTCCTGCCTCAGCCTCCCAACCTGGGATTACAGGCGTGTGCCGCTGGGCCCCTACTTTTGATACCATATCATAATGTTAGTGGATATTCCTGGATTTGAAGTTAAGAAATGGGATTTTGTTATGGCTGTTGCTGCTGCTGCTGCTGTTCTGGAGATTGAACCCAGGGCCTCACACATGCTTAACACTGACTTTATGTCTAGCTATCTCTCCAGAGGTCCTGGCCCCTATAGGGATTTTAAAATAAGTTGTAATAAAGATGGAACAAGTAAAATTGTATGTAGCCCTGCTCTACTCCGAAGCTAGTTTTAAATGATGTTTCTGACACAGTCTCTGGAATTGTAAGCTGATGGTCTCCAGAAGCATCTAGCTCAATCTGATTATATTTTTGTATTTAGCCTTATTCTTCCATACTTTTGTTTTAGAATTGAAAGTAGATTCATTTATCTTCTTTTCAAAGAACTCTCTTGCCTTACTTTGACTTTTTTTTTTTTTCCCTTCCACTTCCCAAAGTTTTAGTCCAGCCCAAATATCCTTTTAGCAAAATTCCCAGGACCTCATTGGACCAGTTTGCAGCCAGTCTCATCTCATTATTGACTTCCATTTTCTGTTGTGATCCTTAAAGAGACAGAGTTACTCTTCTAGAAGAATTTTTCTAAATGAATCAAACTGTTAATATACAGAGTTTTAAGTGCTTGTGAGAGAACAGATTGTTTATATGTACTTTATTTCACTCACATTGCTTTGCTTCTTTATAAAAATAAATTGTCTTCTCCACTGTAGTTGAATCTTTCAACAACACATTTAAACATAAGACGTTTTGTACCTGTAATGTTTTTGTTTGACATGAACTTCAACTTCCTCAAGACGTTCCATTCTTGTTCTAAGGGCATTACAGAGATACAGATCGGGTTTAATAAGTGATATATTTTATCCCTAATAGAAAATGCAATCTGAATGACCCAGACAGAATTTTTCTTCTGAGTGGTATTTTGTGAAAACAAAATATTAAAATCTTTCTCTTCCACGGCCACAATTGCCAATCTTCTTTTCCCGTATGGAATATTCCTCCGCCTCATACTTAATGACACACACAAAGCCACACACATGGTACATAATATATGCCAAAAGCCAAAAGGGTCAAATTTTTGTGCCTTGAGACAGGAGAATTTCCTGATTAAAAATCCTAAGTACAAAAAAAAAAAAAACATGATTTGCTAAGGACCAGCTGGGTTTAATTGATAGAATGTAGTTACTGGAAAATTGTTTTGTGTTTATGTCTTTTTTCATGACCTTGGAACATAACTGAAAAACTCAGAAAGCTGTCAATATAAAGTTAATTCGGTAGTTATGGGGGGGAAATACTTTAGGATCTATTTCTTAATCAACTGAGACACTTGATATAGACTTTGAAACCTCCTGCCTCTGTTTCCACTGCCATCACCCTGTTCATATCTCAGTTTGGATTACTACAATAGACTTTTAGCTGTTCTCCTTCAAGACTAGCTAGAATCATTATATCCTTGGAACTGTCTCCTCTGATTTGTATGCTTTCAGTAATTATTCTGTACTCTGATAAATCTTGATATACAATTCTCTTGTCATTTGTCACGTTTGAATTGTAAATTGTTTATCGGATCCTCCTGGGCTTTCTGTCTGCCCTTTCCCCTACTGAATTTGTGGAAGCCCATGTCTTATTTTTTATTTACTCATCCATTAGCATAGTGCTTAGTAACTTTTGGCTGATTTGGGTGAATTTTTCAATATGTTTTTATCATATTGGTTAGCCTAGTACTCCTAAAATATTATGCAATAGACTCTGCATATATCCACATGTGTATTTATAACATCTGTATATAATCAAAAAGATATTATATAGCTCGACTAAGAGGAAGATTAGGAATATCTGGTAACTAAAGGGAGAGATTACTATATATGCCCCACCAAGAATTTCATATGGTTTCCTTAAAAGTGAGAATTCAGTTAATTTGCAATAAAAAGCCAATTATGTTGTCTCCTCCCCCATAATTTCTGTTTATCTTTGTGATTATAATATGGGTTTGTCCAGGAAAAAAAAAAGGTAATGCATAAATGTCCTAATGAATTTTTTAAAATGGAATTAACATTAGATTCCCTGTGGCTATAGAGCATTTAATATAATTGGGTATTAATTTTAAAACTCTCTTTTGAAAAACTGAAAACTAGTTACAATTCCTCCCTCCTTCTTTCTTTCTTTCTTTCTTTCTTTCTTTCTTTCTTTCTTTCTTTCTATTATTGAACTCAGGGATACCTTACCGCTGAATACATCCCATCCCTTTTTATTTTTTTATTTCCTGTTAAGTTGCTGAGGTCCTTGCTAAGTTCCTGAGGCTGGACTCAAACTTGTGATTCTCCTTCCTCAGCCTTCGGAGTCACTGGGATTACAGGCATGTGCCACTGTGCCCAGTTAGTTATAATATATTTAAAAAGTCAACTGAGAAAGAGAACAAAGGTACTATGGACCTCATAGGAAGCTATTTAAATTACCACACCAGGACCTATCCAAACAGAGGAGTTGAACCCTCTCTCTCATATTGTGGAGCCAAAGGAGTCCATTGGAAGGAAGCAGCTGGGAAGGTACTTAGGACAGAGTCCCTTAGGCTCTGCCATTTAGTAGTACCTTCATGCCACTTAACTTCACTAAGAATTGATCTCTTTATATGAAGGGAAAGGAAATACTTATTTACCTCATAGGGTTCTTATGAGAGTTAAATGAAAAAAAATACATGTAATGTATTACTACACATGTAATATAATCTGCCTTGGTATGTATCATGGTTCCATGGTGACCATGGGTAAGTTAAACTTTGTGCTTCTGTCTCTTCCTCATCAATTAATTTGGATGATTGTGATCCTTACTCCATGAATTTTTATAAGGATTAAATGAGATAATGCACAGAAAGCACTTTTTTAAATGCCTCACACACACAGTATGCTCAATAAATATTATTATTATGTGTTATACTAGTAGTATTTTTCATGTTAAAGAGCTTTTTATATCTATTTATCTCTTCCTATCCTCTGGCAGTACAGAGGAATAAAAGTAGGTTAACCTTGATTCTAGGGAGGGAGATTTAAAATAACAAAAAGCTGAAAAGGAACAGGAATGTGAATGGTCATAGAGTGAATTCCTTTTTGCTTCATCAAAGGGAGGCCAACTGCCACCCTCAAGTGACCAGAAACTATCATTTATGCAGTGTTCCAGTACAACTAAAATCATTAGTTTTATGTTTGTTGGTTTTATTTTAAATATAGTCAGTTAAACTATCATGACCTGGATAGTTAATTTTAATTTGTACTCTGATCATAACACCTCAAAGTTGACAACATCAAGTAACTCCAGAATGAATTGAGTATACAACTTAGACTTGAAGCCGTCTGTTACTTAAATGATGAAGTCGAACTTAGCTGAAGCCTAATCTATTTTAATTTAGCTTGT